AAAAATTTATAAATGATAAATATATATGATTAATATTTTTAACAGAAATGTCTAAAAGCTAGATGTTAAAGTGAGAAAAATTCCTCTATTTTCTTTGTCCTAATAGACTCTCCAATAAGGAGGAATTCCAATTCCCTATTTTGATTATCTTCACCAGACCGCCTGAGCAAAAGTTACATAGATGGTTAGAAGCTATCATGTGTATGTTGGGAACCAAATCCAGGTCCCCTGTAAAAGCTTTCAACCCTAGGCCATGTCTCCAGTTCCAAAATAGCTCTATTAACTTACAGAATTTTCAATTATAATGACACAACTGACTGAACAATCTCAATGACTTTTGACTCTATTCTCCTGGCTTAAAGACTTAAAGGCCTGTCTGGTACAGTAACTTCTGACCTACAAAATCAGTGTCCCGGCCCACCGGCCCTGTGTAGTACTGAGGTCCAAAACCAGAGTCCTGCACATCACCAGGCAAGCATTCTACCAGTGAGCTTCCTTTCCAGCCTTGTATTTGGAGTAAAGCCTCATTAAGTAGTTACCTGGGCAAGCTCCAATCTTGCAATCTTCCTGCCTCAGCCTTTTTGGAGTAGCTATGATTATGGACCTGAACCTCTAGGCCCAGCTCACCAACCAGCTTATTTTAAAAGGGGGATCAAAATATATAGAAAATAAACGCTAAGAGGAAACAAGTTTTTTGTTTTGTTTTTAGTTTTTTTTTGGGGGGGGGGTGGGGTTTCAAGACAGGGTTTCTCTGTAGCTTTGGAGCCTGTCCTGGACCTCTCTCTGTAGAACAGACTGGCCTTGAACTTACAAAGATCCACCTACCTCTGCCTCCCAAGTGCTGGGATTAAAGGCGTGTGCCACCACAGCGACTGAAACAAGTTGTTTTTTTTTTTAAAGATTCAAATGAATACCTGTTCTCCTGTTCCTTCTTAGACTCATGATATTAAATCATTCATTTATTCATTATTCATCTATTGATTTATTTTGTGTGCTCCCCCACCCCCATTTTTGAGATAGGGTTTCTCTGTGTAGCCCTGGCTGTCCCAGAACTCACTCTATAGACCAGGCTGGCCTCAAACTCACAGATTTGCCTGTGTCTGCATCCCAAGTACAGGGATTAAAGGTATACACAACCACCGTTGGGCTTAAATCATTCTTAATAGTGATTATACACTATTCATTCAACTTTCAAATGTGTGGAACATGTGAGAAACCTCAAACACACTGGAATACTCAGGACTTCACAAAATAATTATTATTCAGCCGTAAGCACCAGCAAGCCTCGCCTGTCAGGCAGTGTTTGCCCAGCCCTGAGGAGGCACACAGAGTGATCCTGCACCAAGAGACCACAGTGCTATCATTTAAAATTTCCTAACCTCCATTACCTTAGAGACTCCTACTACTGGAAACAGTGAAGGACACATCTTTTTTTTTTTTTAATTTTTAGAAGATTTTTTTATGTGTATGCATGCCTTCATGAATTTATATTCACCACGTGTGTTCAAAGTGCCTGCAGAGGCCAGAATGCGTCAGATCCCCTGGAACTGGAGTTTTTGCCAGTGTGAGCTCCTGTGTGGGTGCTGAGAACTGAACTGAGGTCTTCTAGCTTTCAGTAATCTCAATGGCTGAGTCATTTCTCCAGTCCATAAAACAAGGCCCTAATTTTCAGTGTTGATTTTGTGTCCCACTACTTTACTGAAAGTGTTTATTGGGTCTCATTTTTTGTAGAACTTTTAGAGTCATTTAATAAAAAATCATACCATTTGCAAATTGGGGGTAATTCAGCTTCTTCCTTTTCTATCTATATCCATTTTATTGATTTATCTTGCTTTATTTCAGTCTAAGAGTTCAAGCACTATATTAAACAAAAGTGAAGAGTCCACAACCTTGTCTCGTCCATAATTTTAGAGGAAATGCTCTCAGGTTTTCTCCATTTATATAACGTTGGCTATAGGTTTGATAGCTAGAGCTTTTATTATGTTGAGTTACAATCCTTCTGTTCCTAGTTTCTTTGGAGCTTTTATTTTGAAGTGATATTTAATTTGTCTACATCTTCAGAGATGTAATTTATTGGTTTGCATATATGCAGGATGAACCACTCCTGCATCTTTAGCTTGAAACCTACTTGATGGTGATATACAATATTTTTATGTGCTGTTGAATTCACTTTGCAAGTATTTTATCCAGAACTTTTACATCTGTGTTCATCAGGGAAATTGGTGTGTAGTTTCTCTTTTTATGTTGAAGGACACTTATCTTTAAAAGTCAACCAGACATTGTCAGCTGGGCATGGAGGTACACATCTATAATCCCAATACTCCGGAGGCAGAGAGAGGCAAGTAGATCTCTGTGAGCTCCAGCCAGCTAGAGCTACACAGTGAGACCCTGTCTCCAAAAAAAAAAAAAAAAAAGTTATGAAATGTAAAGAGGGGCAGTTAAGAGCACTGGCTGCTCTTCAGGGGTTCTGAGTTCAATTCCCAGCAAACCGCATGGTGGTTCACAGCCATCTATAATGAGAACAGGATGTCCTCTTCTGACATGTGGGTGTACACACAGACAGAGCACTCACAAATAAATCTGCTCCCACATTTTAAGAAAAGTAAAAAAAGAAAAGAAAGAAATATAAAGGAATTACATCTGTGTCTGACAAAGTCCAACCCTGATATCAAAGCTCTGGCTACTTATATTAAATAATTAATGTATTTATTCATTATTTTTTTTGGAGATAGGGTCTTCTGCAGCTCAAAGCTGGCCTTGAACTTCTTATGTGGCTGAGAGTAGCCCTGAACTTCTGATCCTTCTGCCTCAGCCTCCTGCCTTCTTTTTTTTTTTTTTTTTCTTTTTTTCTTTTTTTTTTTTTTTTTTCGGTTTTTTGAGACAGGGTTTCTCTGTGTAGCTTTGCGCCTTTCCTGGAACTCACTTGGTAGTCCAGGCTGGCCTCGAACTCACAGAGATCTGCCTGGCTCTGCCTCCCGAGTGCTGGGATTAAAGGCGTGCGCCACCACCGCCCGGCCAGCCTCCTGCCTTCTAAGGTCAGATAACCCAAGAAGAGACAACGGTGGCAGAAGATGGGGAAGGCACTCGAGTGCCCTCTGGCTCTCCTCCTGAGTCGGACCTTCAGAACGCTGTGCTGGGACTCCTTTCTCACCTCCCATCCAGGGCAATGGTGTATCTCAATCCAGACCTCTCCTCATTTCTATGTCTCAGTTTACACTAACTCACATGCTTCAATCACAGCAGATCTGCTTACGCTCCCAGCAAGGGTGCGTTTTACTGAACTTATTACAGATCCCATCCTAGGTGCTTTCACAACCCTATCTGTGCTAGATACAATTATTCCCTCTACTTTTCAATAAACAAAGGTTAGTAATGAGCTCAGAGTGAGCACCCAGCACCCTCAGTATAAACGGCATTCGGACTGAGCCCTTCTGTCTTCTGTCTTCAGAGCCTACACATCTAAAGTCAAAATCTAGCGTTCACCGTAGGTGTGTTTCCATCTTTCTTCGCCAGCTTTTCTTGCCCCTGTGGACAGGAGTCATCTCGTCAAGTTGAAGAGATGTCATCTTTGATTGTCACCTCTCACCAACTTCTGTCCAAGCCTAGCCGCCCCCACCCCATGCTTCCTCACTAGAGAGAAATGTCCCTAAGACCAGAATCCTAGGCTATGCTCAAAGCCACACAGCAGCAAAAGGGATCTTCCTTGCTATATACACCAGTTCATGCATTTACTTGTTTCACTCTGAAAATAAAATCTACAACACTTAGGAGACGGAGAGATGGCTCAGCCGTTCAGAGCACTGGCTGCTCTTCCAGAGGACCTGGACTTGATTTCCGGTACTCACGGCAGCTCACAATCATCTATAACTCCAGTTCCAGGGGATCTGATGCCCTCCTCTGACCTCCCGGCACTTGTGGTAGACAGATATACATGCAAGCAAAACAACCATATGCATAAAAAAATTTTCAAACCCACAACACTCACCACTTTTTCAATTCTTCATGGTTTCTCAAAACTAAATCCTCTCAGCTTGCACACCCTCCCCATCCTCCCCGCCCTCCCCATCCTCCCCGCCCTCCCCACACCATTTCCCTCCCGGCCACACTTTCTTAGACTCATATGAAGTTCTGCAGAGCTGACAGTAAATCAATTTGCCCAACCTCCTGGAGGGGTAATGCATAGCACTGCCCGCCACTTAGCCAAGACCCAGCAGAATACAAGGTCTGTGCTACAGGTATCCTGGGCTGGCCATTCATGCCCACTCAGCCTCATGCCTGACTCCATTGCTGGGAAAAGGCTCCAATCTTACCAACTAACCAGCAGCAATCTCCTCCCTGGAGGAAGGCAACTCCTGGGGCTGTCAGAATACCCAGCGATGTCTCCTCCTTTTCACCTTTCTCCTGCCATTTGTGCATTCTCCTCCACAAAAAGTCCAAGTCTAAGACAAAGCTCGATGTGGTAGTGTATGTCTATAAATCCCAGCCTCAGGAGATAGAGACCGAAGGGTCAGGAGAAGCTCAAGGTTAGTTTTTACTAAATACAAAGTTCCAGGTCAGCTTAAGTCACATGAAATCGGGCCTCAAAAAGTCTGTGAGAAAGTGATAGATTTTAAAATGTATAAATTCCAACTTGGCATAAAAGTACATGTGTCAGCACTTGGAAGTCGAGGCAGGAAGATGAGGGGCCTCAAGGTCAGCCTGGGACACTGAATTTGAGACAAACCTGAACGATAGAGAATACCCGAGACTCCTTCATAAAAATAGAGGAAAAGCATACTCACATAAGAGGTGGAAAACCATAGTCCTTAAGAACAGAAGCAGAGCATGGGCAGCACATAAGTATTTGCTGATTTGATTTGTAATGATGGAAAGAAAATAAAGTTAAAATAGCAGCTCACCTAGGCCCTTGAATCAGTATTTGTAATTTCACAGAAAAGACAGTCAGACTCCTCGTCCCAAGAAACCCTAAAATACCACCAGCTGTTATCTCACATACTTACTGGCATCATCCATGAACTCAAATTCCCCTCCAAGTTCAGAGCTTGAAAAGTGATACTGATCGGGATCTGCCAGGGCGCTCAGGAGAATCAGCAGGACCACAGCATTGATGATCTGCAGGAAGAAGAAAGGGAGGTGAGACACCCAGGGCAGAGATGCAGACCACCCATGGTGCTTCTTCATGTCTGCAGCTGAGTGAGTGTGCAAAGCCCCCCGCCCCCTCCAGAGGGCTGGCCAACTCGGGGGCAGCTAAGCTGGGGAGAAGGCTCAGCTGGTCGGACCCCCAGAACCCACGTATGCGCAATGGTGGATCAGTGAACTGGCTCGGTAAAGGCACTTGTCATCAAACCTGATATTATCAATCAGTTAAACCCCCAAAACCCACACGTAGGGAGAGTCAACTCTTGAGAGTTGGACTCAGACTATCATTATGTGCACCCACACACACATACCTACACTCTCGTGAGCGCGCACGGAACACAAATAAAAGCAACTGGAGTGGGGGATGCAGTAGGGGATGGGTGGCCAGGTCCCTGACACTTACTGGCCAGCCGATCTAGCCCATCAGTGCGTGTCAGGTTCAGTGACGGTAGAGAACAATCAGGGAAGGACACTCCATGTCAGGTTCTAACCCGCACATGTGCACAGGGACCGCACACAGGCACAATCTGTGGTGGCTTGAGAGAGGAATGCCCCTGACAGCCTTCAGTATTGAATACTTGGTCCTCAGTTAGTAGCACTGTTTGTGGAGGTTTAGGAGATCTGGTCCTGCCTGAGAAAGCATGCCAGGAGTCTACTTTGGCTTGCTTCCCCACCATGATGGGCTTTATCCCTCTGGAACCATAGCCTAAATTACCTCTCTTCTTCAGGCTGCCTTGGTCATGAAATTTTATAACTAATATACAATCCTTTAAAAGGTATGGGGAAATGGTTTAAGACAGACACAGACACCAGGGGCTCACTTCTGCTGGGGACAGTGCCTTTAAAATCAGTGGGGCTTCAAACCCAACACCCCTACTTCTCTACTCATCCTTATCTGTGTGTATCTTAAAAATCAGTACCACACACTGTGATTAAGGGAACACTCCGACACACCATTAAGCACTTTATGTGGATTGTCAAAGCCCTACAAACCCTCTTGAGTTAATTAGAGCAATGCAAAAACAATCCCATTGTACAGAGGAGAAAGTTGAGGCTCGAAGGTTAAAAACACTGCTCAAATCAGAAAGTTAGACTGCAGAGGGGACTTGTCAGGAACTTAATCCCAAACCTGGCTTCCCATCTTCCGCTGACATGTGTGACTTCATTATCTCTGGGCTCACCATCTCCAGCATCCCTACATCCCACACCCAAGTTCAGAAACATGAGTGTGCTGTTTTACTCTTCTCAAAACAGAGAGAAAAGGCCTTTTACTAACATGAACTAAAGGCACATCCAATTGTTTGGAAGTATCCACCATAGAAGAGATTCAGAGTTGGTGGGTAAACACCCACTGCAGAATTGTTTAATGTGACAATCTCTAGAGATTCTTTCAGGATTGTTGTAGGACTTGGATTTTTTTTTCCTTCCTCTATTTTCAAATTGTTAGATGCAATCTGATGGGAACAGCAATTCCCGCACACACACACACACATACATGATTAAATAGACACTACAAGGTTAATGGCTTGGGGGGTTGAAAAAGGTCTCACACAGCCCAGGCTGGCCTTGAATTTACTACCCCTACCCCTCCAGAGTCCTAGGGATCAAATCCACAGGAGGCAAGCACTTGGTCACTTGATGCTCATCCCTAGCCCTACTTTTTTCTTTTTAAAGACAGGATCTCACAGCCTCGGTGGTGGCGCACATCTTTAATCCCAGCACTCAGGAGGCAGAGGCAGGCAGATCTCTGTGAGTTCAAGGCCAGCCTGGTCTACAGAGTGAGTTCCAGGAGAGTCAGGGATACACAGAAAAACCCTGTCTCAAAAATAAATAAATAAATAAATAAATAAATAAATAAATAAATAAATAAATAAAATAAAATAAAATAAAATAAAATAAAAAAACTAACAGCCAGACCAAGAGTAGGCTAATGCCTCCAAAACGCCTCTTGGTGCCAAAGGTCAATATTTTTAAAGACAAAACCCAGTTACAGCAGTGCCAGGGGCTTGGGGCACCCCCACAACGTCTGTCTTTTTGCAGAGCTTAGCAGTACTTTCCAGACCCCACATGACAATTACTTTTGATTTACACTTCCGCTAGCTATTTTAGTTTATGTTTTAGCTTGCACAAACATTAATTATTTTAGTTAATATGTCTGGACCTGGTGAGAGTCACAGTCCCCAAAGCAGGGCTAAGGTGGATGTGGGTACTGGGTGAATGCTGAGCAGCATCGACACAGACTCAGTTACCTTAGTCATGTCACAGTAATTCCTGACACCCTGCAGTAGGGGACCGTTTGCCAGCTGGTGGAGAATCCTGAAGGCCAGGGTGTGACAGTCAGAGGCCTCTCATCAGGGAGACCCTGCACTGGAGCCTCCTGCTGACACAGATTAGGTTTTCACCACCTTGGGTCTAACTCTCACATCTCTGTGAGACGTCACTCCATGTTATCTGGAGTGGTCTTAGGTGCCGAGTGCCACAGAGCCAGAATCCTTAGAGACACGGTAAGTGACCAGATGCAAAGACGAGGCAAGAGAAACAGGCAAGCCTGACTGCAAGCCCGGCTGAGGCAGCATCTTGTCACTCTCTCAGGAATGACGCCTGGAAGGCTGACATAAGCTCCTCCATGATGCCATGCCAGGTAATTACGCTGCCAGCTGCTCCACCTGGCTTCTAACCCTCCTCTTATTCATGCCTGCCCTGCTGCCAATCTTCCCGCCTTGGTCCCTGACTCTCCTCGGGGTGGTCTGGTGTGTCCTCTTCTCTCACCGGCAAGTCCTACCGCTTCACAACTGCATTCATCCTGTCTCTGCGTGGCAGGCACCGTCCAGGCTTGGCAGCCTCTTCCAAGGGTCCCTGTACTTTGCGCAGTGATTTAGATAACATCAATGGTTGGGTTGGTGAGGTGGTCCAGCAGGTAGAAAGGCAGTAGTGCATCAAGGCCTGATGACCCGATTTGATCACTGGCAGGAAAGAGCTGACTCCTGAGTGGACCTCTGACCTATTTACATACTGTGTCACACACTCACACACACATGCACGAGCATGCACACACACGTATACACCACAAAGACACAGAAATAAATTTTTTTTAAACTTTTTTTGGGACAGACAAGGTCTTACTATGCAGGCCTGGCTGGAACTCACAGAGATGCCCCTGCCTCCTGAGTGCTGGGATTAAAGGTGTGCAGTACCATGCTTAAATTATATATATTAAAAGGAAGAGTGGTGAGCTTCTTGCACATCCAAATGACCGTCAACAACAACAACAAAAACCACACAACTCTCACCTCAAAGGTCTAAGAGAGTTTATTCTGGAGCCAAATAGGAACGACTCCAAATTCCACGCTCCACTGTGGTAATGGTTTCATTAAATTTTATAATGACAGAACAACAAAACTAAACGCAGACACTTGCACGTACATTGGTGGAGAGAGACAACCGGGGAATCTCACCACAAGCCTCAGATGCTGACGGCATTCTTAGCCTTTGGTTGGTGGGAGCCTGGACATTCCGAAGGACTACCTAAAGTCAGAGATGTCATGCACATACAGAGGTGGGTAATACACAGCTATTAAGGGGGGCTAAAGATGGCGCTGGACTTACAACAGCCTTGCCTCCCCACATCACTGAGGTTGTACGCAGTTAACCAGCCTCGCAGGAAGTTCATGGAAGGTGTGATTCTTTCCAGGAGCCCTCCTCCTTCACAGGACTCACCCTGTGCTTCTCTGAGGGGTGAGATCTTCTTAATAGAATCTGTCTGACTTGTCTTCTCTGTATCACTGCATAAAACCTCAACAGCTGGGCGGGAATGTGGCACCAAGGAGGGAATGAATACAGGAGTATCCATGAGATCTTGGGTCAACACAAAGAGGTAGGGGTACATTTCGTCATGGCAACTATTAAACACCGTCAGATAGGAAAAGCCAAAGACAAGCTAAAGCCCCAAGAACACCGGGTAAGAACCCCCTGAGAGAGAAGACGTGCCATTAGGTCACCAGTTCTGACCCAGAATGAACGATCAGCGCAAATAACAGTAGCACTAAGACTTGCCAGGAGCAGCCTACGTAACGCCACAGCTAATCTCAATGCAAAGACCTCGCGGCACACCCTGGCTCTTTTAGTTAGCACGCTTGTATTTGGGCTGTCTCTTCCAGTGAGGTGGGCACCGACTGTTCCTGTGCTGCCACACTTTTTTTTCTTGTTCTGTTCTTTTTTTTTTTTTTTTTTGGTTTTTCGAAACAGGGTTTCTCTGTGTAGCTTTGCACCTTTCCTGGAACTTGCTTTGGAGACCAGGCTGGCCTCGAACTCACAGAGATCTGCCTGGCTCTGCCTCCCGAGTGCTGGGATTAAAGTCATGTGCCACCAATGCCCGGCTTTCTTGTTCTTTTTTGTTGCTTGGTTTTTGAGACAGGGTTTCTCTGTGTAGTTTTGGTGCCTGTCCTGGATCTTGCTCTGTAGACCAGGCTGGCCTCAAACTCACAGAGATCCACCTGGCTCCCAAGTTCTGGGATTAAAGGCTTGTGCTGCCACCACCGCCCAGCTTTTTTTCTTGTTCTTAATGAATATTTCCATGTGTAAATAAATTGATTCTGTCCGATTACTTAAGTGGTGTGCTAGGCCCTTGCACATTCTCGAGGCCCAAAGTGCTTTCAGGTGTAGATCACGTGTCCGACCTCAAACAGCACCGTAACTACTCACTGCCAGCTGCACTGCTCAGGACCCTCCATAAAGCAGGGCACAGTGATGCTACAGCCTTTGATCCCAGCACTCGGAGGTGGAGGCCGGTGGATCTCTACGCATTCTCTACATAGTGAGCTCCAGGCCAGCTAGAGCCACACAGTGAGACTCTGTCCAGTCTTTGGGGAGAAGAGAGAAGAACCTCAATAAAGGAACCTTGAAAACATTCAAGCCTAGGAAGACAGCCACCGAAACGTACGAACTTTAGAACCAACACTGACCTCTACAGCGAA